TGGCGCTCAGCTTCTGGCCCGAGCCACTGCAGGCATGTGGCTGTATTTCCAAAATCAGAAGTGAAGGTCTGTTCACTTGCTTCTCAATCAGTCTACACAGTTTAGACTAACCTATAAAATTGAAATCGATTCCGCCTCAGGCTTTTTGACTGTCTGTACTTAGCCTTGGCCGGCCCCATGGGCTGGATGATGTTGCTCCATAGGAACCACCATATTTTATCCAGGACAAGCCATTTGAACAACTGTGCGTTCACTTCTTGAAGTGCTGAAAAGATGTATTTCTCACTACAAATATAACACCAGTCCATGTCCTCAATCTTGTAAAGGTCTCTCAGGCAGCTGTGCAGACATACAAAGGTCACCAAGTTCTGAGGAATGGCTTATATTTCTGCAGGCACTCAAGAACTCAGTAGCAGGTAATCTCCCATAATTTTCAGTGCTTAGTGCCAAAGGCTTCCTTAGCTGTCTATGTGTTTTTAGCTAAAAAGGGAAGGAAATACTGGAATATTACTCATCCCTAGGTTGTCTTTGAGCAGCTATAGCATAACAGGACTCTTTTGGGGTGCCTCTGTTTTGTGCCCCATGCCTGAAACCCTTCCAAAAGGCATTTACAAAATTAGACAATACTCTGGCTTTCCTTTCTGACCCACAAAAGTGAAGAAGTCAAGAAGCTGCTGAAAAAGCTTGCTCAATGCTATGTGGGGATTACTTAAGACTGGAAAAATAGTTTAATTCTGTATTCCATTTTGCTTTTGCCTTCTACTCCTCCTTTCTCTCCTTCTCTCACTGGCATGGCTTGTAAACATGGAAGAAGTCAGTAATATATTTTTTGCTCTCAAATCACTAGCCACTCAAGAACATAGTAGAAGTATTGTTGCATATTTCTTATTGTATGGCCCTCAGAATCTAACTCTCAGTGCTCACAGCATCCCTATTTACTGTGGGTTTCCAGCTACACCTGGCTAATGATTAAGGCTAGGTACAGACATTACACTGATTGGAAACCAATCTATACTCATAACAGAACAGAAGTTCTGCACACAGACTGGTTTTAAAATGGCAGAACCCAGACTAAGATTTACTCCTCTACCCAACCAAAGGGCACATGTGTTCTGTCTGTTACCAATCTAAACTACATTGCTTACATAAAACCATGTAATTTATATTGGTTCTGTCGCAGGCTTTTTGAATGTCTATACCTGGTAAAAGAGTATAACTATAATTCGTTCCTATTACAATGGAGAACTGGACAAGAGGACAATGGCATTTTACTACACACAAAGAGATTAACCCAGCATTCCACTAATTTGCACCCAGTTCATCTCTGGTTACATGTTTCAGGCAAAGATCAGAGCACTATTAAGAATTGTAGTGGTCTGCAGTAAGGGTCTGCGAAATGGGCCGTATTTGATTCAGATTCAGCCTGAATCAGGGACAGCGATTCAATTAATTGATTCAGATCACTGTCCCAATTCGATTTGGCTGAATCCGAAGATTCAATGCTCATTCACAGAATCAGCGATTCAACCACAGACACAACTTTAAATGTTTTTTCTACATACCTTGAGGTACCAGGCACAGCTCATGAACGCTGTGATGGTGGGGCGGACGGAGCATGCCACAGGACCTTGGGATGTCTTCTGGTCCACTTCCAGGTCCGCTGCCAAGGACACTGGGGCCCCACCTCCCTGGCTCAGAGATCAGCTGCAGAGGGACCCTGGGTGCCCCTCCAGACACAGGATGCACCAGTCGCTGCACCTGGAGGGGGGTACCCCTCCCCCCCATGTGCTCCCCGGTGGACTGGTAGTGATTCTGGTCCACTTCCAGGTTTGCTGCTGAGCATGTTGGGGACCCCCACCCCCTTCCCATGTGCTCCTGTAGGATACTCCATCTGCCCCACCATCTCAGCATTCACGAGCCACTTGGTACCTTGAGGTATGTAGAAAAAACATTTAAAGTTGTGTCTATATCCAAATCTCTCTGAATTGATTCAGAGGGTTCCAATTCAATTCAGAGAAATTAAAGAGTCTCCTGACTTGATTCAGATTTGGAGATTTGGCCACCAAATCGGGCTGAATCTCTGCCAAATCAAATCAATGACCGAAGCTTCACACAGCCATAGTCCCCAGTATAGCCAGCAAAGTCAGAGGAGAGGACACTCAGGAGACTTCTAGAGAACGAAGAATAGCAGGAGGGGCTCATTACTATCATATTGCTATCCCAACCCTAATTTAACCCTTTATTACCATTTTCCCCACCCAAATACATTCCCTCTACCTTGTCTGTCCTCCTTCTTCCAGGCCTGCTTCAGGGCATCCTGTAATGTCTGCCCAGCAAAGAAAACCAATTAAAACTTACTATATTCTTGTGCATGTCACTAAGTCAAACATGCCTAAAGGCCAGCTCAGCTGCTCCACACCTCTCATTTGCCACAAGTTCTGAGGATAAGGGAAAACCTCTCGTACTAGTAAGAAGTGACAAAATACCAAACAAATGTCCACAGATCCCTTGGAAGAAAAATAATTGACCATACAATTGAACCTCCCCAAATTCATATTAACCAGCAGTTCCTGGTATGTTGCCATGTACTACAGGCTGAAATTTTCAGTGTCCATTTTGCATAACCCACACAAAGTGGATTCAGCAGGGTTCCCATCAGTCAGTTAGTAATTGTGCATGCAGAGATCTGCATGCAAAAATGTGTCTGTTTTCTTTTGAATAGGCACAATTTAAGACCAAAATTTCAAGTGTCATGCAAAGAACACAGCGGTGTTCATTTTTGCAGGGAAATGAAGGTTTTGTTAATGCAGGGAATCTATGAAAGCAAGACAAGCTCTTCATTTTGGAAGCATCCATTTTGTTTGATAAAAATAATGGCATTTTCTAGAATTAGGCTTTTTTTTGCTGCATTTTTGAATAACTATCATATCTTAATTTTTTTCTTAGATAAAACAAAGTTATTCTAACTCAACTCAAGGTCCCATCATTAATTCACATGATATCAAGATTCACATGCTGTTTTTTAACCTTCCTCCGGAGGTCAAGAGCATTTCATACAGCATACCAAATACCACTCTGACATTTAGTCTACTTTAAAACGATGCTTGTTTTCCTGCCTGGTGGCAACTTAATTGTTTTACTTTATTTATTAAAGTTTATTACCGCAGTTTGGGATCTGCATTTCCATCAGGGCTATCCTCTTGTTGTTGTCATTTATGCAATAAAAATCCTGAGTTTCTGCATTAGAAAACTTGGTCTCTTGAAATATCTTGATCCACATAATGTCACAGGAACATTTGAATGGATTGTCCACTAGGATCCTATAGCAAAAGATAAACCAAATATTTTCTTAAAAATTCAACTGATGTGATGTGCACAGAAACACTATTTTTTATGTCACGATCAGGTTAAAAATTAAATATTTTGCATAATAAAGTTACAGGAATAAAGCCTCAGCCTCCACCTTGTACAAAGAGGTGTGGTTCCTGATATTGTCAATGGCACTGTATCCATTTTCACCAATTTAGAATCTGGCCATTGGTCTCTACTGCAGATCTGAGATACCAGATATAAAGCCAAAATTTGAACTCAATTTGACCAGTGTAAAAACTGGAGCAGCTGTAGGATCAGCTTTATCACAGATCACAGAGCAGTTAAAGAGAGATCAGAGTCTAGTTTGTAGCTATCTAATTTACCAATTTATAAAGCACACTACGGAAGAGATTAATTGCTGTAGGTGGTGCACTTTTTATGAACCCAAGCAATTCTATATTATGGGCAAACTCTAATGGTCCTACTTATAAACAAGAATTATATGTGCCTGTAAAAAGAAAACACCCATAGTCAGTCTGGCAGATAACACCATGAAAAGTTCTAACAACTATTCGCTAGAAATGTTAAGCAAACAATGGAGATGCATACACTGAACTTTTATTACTATGGAGCTGTAGAAAGAGCATGATAAAAATATTCATCAAACCTTAGTAAATCTATGTGATTTATAATTTAAATAATCGTGAAAACAACCACGCATAATATGAGAAACCCCAAGTGAAGCAGAACAAGAAATTCTGGGCATGTAGCTCAGAAATGGTCCAGTAGCTCACCTTTTCTACTAAAAGAAATGGAGGGTCCAACAGATAAGTTTCTCCACTTTTCTTTACAAATCCTCAAGACATTTCATTAGAAAAAATATTAATGAAATTTCACAAATAACCATAAGCTACAGAAACCATATTAAAATACATGCAAAATCTGGTGCCTTAAGAATTAAAACCTCATTCTAGTTTTTAGGCAGCAACTTAAACTGCCATATTTGTAGAATAATCAAGGTAAAGCCATGAGTCACTTTCTCAGAAATGCAACCTGTTTCTTTTAACCACACATACTTATTTCAGAGTACAAAGCTGCAGGAACTATTTCTGCAACTCATCCTGTGAATTCATACTCCAGCAAACCATCTCATTGGTTTCAATGGCAACACTAGTGTAAAAAAAAATTACTCATGCAAGTGAGGATTTACAAGACTGTCAGAGATATAAAAATATTCAGGGGCAATGTGTAAGGGGTGCACATGGGTATACATGCAGCTCCTGTGTGTGGCGGTGCACCCCTTGCGAAAATGAGCCACCACCACTGTTGGTGGCACCTGCGGGTGGTCACCACATGCTACCCCACTGCCAACACCAGCAGCGTCTGCAGGAAGCCCATGATCACCCCTGGCCACTGCCGGCAGCGCCTGCAGGTGGTTGCCAACCCCTGGTTGGCACTTGCCACCCCCTCCCCACCACCGCCAATGCTGGCAGCATCTGCAGGACCTCCCTGCTCACTGCTGCTGAGCTCCCCACACCACCACGCTCCCGCTGCCATGGGCACAGCCATGTCCCCCCAGCCGCCGGGGGCACACGCCATTCATGAAGATACCAAGAACTGCCCCTTCATCTTCTCAATAGTGAGTTCTAAGCTCTGACTTTTTTTTACACTAAATTCATCCAAAGCCTCTATAAAAAAAAAGCTTTTCCTTTGGTAAACAGCCAAATAGCCCTTATCTTCCATTGCTTAAAACGTGATTAACAACTCCCCCTGGGGACATTCTGTGGGAAGTGGGGAGGAGGGTAGCACAGAAGCATGATGGTCCCTTAATGCACTTACATGAAAGAGAGAATCTGATTCAGCAAGAGGCAAGTACACATTTTTAATCTTATTTGCTGTTATTTTGCAGTTGTAGCTACAACTTTGTTCTAAAAGCTGAAGCTTTTCAAAGCAGCATCTTGTTCTCTTCCTCTCCAATGTCTGAGGAATATCTTCTACCTCATTTTGGCCCAGGGTTGCCAACCCAAGAAATTTGTTTTAATGACAATCTGCAAACTTTTTACTGACAACCAAACTTTTTTACTGATATTTTTTTTTTACTGACATATGTTTTACATAATGTAAATATAACCCTTCTGTCAGATGTGGATGACATTGACAAAGGCAAGGTTCAAATTAGGGGTTTAGTAACAACCACAGTAAAAAAGTTTGGTTGTCAGTAAAAAATATATATATATATTGAGTTGAGAACTTTACTTCAGTCACTGTTCTAATGGGCAGTTGGTTGAACCAGGGCATGCTCGTTTTCAAAGACTGAAGCCAGAAAGCCACTGAACTGTACAGCCAGGGCCTAGGTGATCTGGAAAATGTGGGGCAGTGGGAAAGGCTATACAAATATATTGATGGTACCAAATGTGAATTCTCAGGCTTCTGGTACCCATTCACAAAGTCAGAAGTTGAACTGAAACAGTCAGCAATCTTCACTAGACAAACAGTTGTTGAAAGGGGATTATCAAGGCAACAAGCCAAAATTGGCTACCTTCCCTTTCATCCTGTTCTATCTGTTTCCAGAGTCCATATAGCTTTTGGAGAATGTGTTTTGCAATGCACACTGTCCAAAGATTTTCTTCTTAAAAGGAGAGACAGCACCAGCACTACCATCTTCCACTGACAATTCAATGTGGGCAGCATATGTAGCTTGGTGCTCAGCAGAGGTGCACCGATACATCGGTCTGATATTGGATTGGTACTGATATAAAGAAAACTGGCTGTATTGGATATTGGCCTGATGGGGGCGACAATTTATCTGATAAATGCCCGTGCTGCACACAGCCGCTGCACAGCACTCAGGTAGTGAGAAGCACAGACGGCAGCATGGAGAGATGCCTCTATCTGGTAAGTCCAGTGCAATTGAAGAGGAGGGGGGAGATCAAAGCCTCGCATGGCGAGGGAGGGGGCAGGGGCAGGCACTGCCCAGGAGCAGGGGGAGCAGAGCCATGGCTTGTTGGGGGGGCAGATCCCTTCACTGCTTGCACCCCAGGAGGGCACAGGAGGGATGCCCCCTGGATCTGCCCGGGGCAGGGCGGGCTACGGCCAGGGCTCCGCGAGGCTCTTCTCAGTGGGGGCTGGGCTTGGAGTGGACTCTGGTGGTGCTGGAAGGATGTTGCATCCACCCCAAATTTCATCACTTCTCCATTCCTAGCACCACCCCTGCCAGCCACCCAGCTATGCCCCTGCTCAACGCCTCATTTTCACCCATGCACTGGGGAGAACCGGGGCTGTACCAGGTGGCTAGCAGCACTAAGAATAGAGTGACAGTGAAATCTGGAGTGGACGCAGCATCCTCCCAGAGCTGCCGGCACCCACTCTGAACCCAGCCCCTGCTGAGAAGAGCCCCATGCAGCCCTGGCTGCAGCCCACCCCGCCCCACCCGACACAGATCTGGGGGGCACATGCCCCCCC